TTTTTTTATATGAAGGATATATATAAGATGTGGAAAGCATCCATGTTTGAAAATGTACATGTCAAATCATAACAGTAGACAATCAGATGTAATTTGTTTTGTGGAATTTATAATCGGGATTTTATGTTTATGCTTTCATTAAAAGGTAAGTCATACACTTATGTATGTATGTTAACAACCTGAAGAAAATGATTAGAAATAAGTCATACAAGTCAAAATAGAGATGACTTCTGGCTTGTTGTATAGCATGCGGCTTGATCCGCAAATAAAATGTAATCGAAGTTCATGAAAAATGCATCTGTCACTTAGGATGAAGACCAGTATATAATTACGATTCTCAACGATAATATGTAAAGCCACTATGTACAGATACATATGCAAAACAAATTTACGTTTACAAATATACTTCATATCATATTTACATTTTGTTGTACATCAGTATACAAACACATACATGCTATTTTGTATCATGATATTTAAATACATGTACATGTTCGTGCAATACTCTAGTTGGCAGGCTGATAGATAACACAAATTATTTCTATTACCGATTTTTTTACATTCCCAGTACCTTTGATTCAATATAATGGGCAAAACCACTACATTTAACGAGAGTTTATACAACATAACATGATGTTTGTAACCTAGTGAATAATAACAAATGACATTTTAAACATGTGAACTATACACAAAAAATTGTACAACCAGAGAAGTTTCAGGAATAATGTAAAGGTGTATTTGCTATTGAGAAAAAGTGTGATTGTAGATACATGTACATAGGTATTTGAGTGGAAATTATACTGTTGTAAAACTAAGTTGAAAAGTACGCAATTTAATATGCTACTGAGAAAAGATTGAGAAACAAGACATACATGTAACTGCTGACAGGAGAAATTTATAAACAAGAGAAAGTTATAAACAAGAGAAAGTTATAAACATAAGCTAGTATAAGCAATAAACATACACATAAATGATCATTTGAATATTGACGTCTACACAAATAAGAAAAAAAAACACTTTACAGTTCTTACATTAGAGTCAGTTATCCCTCATAAGGGAGAGGGGGCGGGGGGGGGGGTTAAAACTTATTGTCTGTACGGACGGCAGGGATAGTGGGTGTATTACCACACGAGCGTTGACGATTGTTAGTATATTTTTCCTAGTACCTTTACTGCAGCCTTCTGCTTATTCTTCATCTCTTCTCGCTTATTTCTTTCCGCTGCCTGCTTTGCCTGCGTTCTTTGAGGTCAAAATGACACTGATCCTTCGAATCTCCCGGCTATCAATTTATAGAAAGTGCTAGTCAATCATATTGCTTAAAATTACCCACACTCGAGATCGACTGCGTTTGATATACTAACTAACTAAAGTCCGAGAGACTCGAGTAAACACTATGATGATGACTCCCGAGAGTTTTCGAAAAGATGCACAAATATGGCTGCCGTAGAAGACGAACCGCTATGTCTGAGACAAACTTTCAACTCTAATGGACTTTAAAAGTTCAGACAGTATGATTAAATGGAATATACATGACAGGTATGATGTTATCTCAACACGCTGACCAATCGTTATGAGTATAAACCTGTATTCTCGTAAAAATACAGATTACACATAGCGGTGGACTTGTAGTCTGCTTATACACATTGTTTCAATATGCACAATATGCTTTTAAACACTTAAATCGTTAATTTACAGACTCACAACATAATACTACTATCTTATTTGGATGATATACTTGTATCATGATACAGTTTGATGAAATACAACAATATGAGATCATTTACAGACGAAATTCCCGTAACAACAAGAGAACAGATTTGGTGTTCATATCGGACTATGTAAGTGTAGTAGGCGGGGTCAAGAGACGAGAGTTTGCCACCAAAATGACTTCGCGTTGTGTAATTTTGAATGATGTACAAACTGTACAAGTCTTGGAACATTAAACCAGTGGCCATTCAACTCCTAAACCCACCTACCAGTTCTTTTCTCCTGATTAGTCGAAGTGTTAGGAACCCAAAACAACACCAGAGGTCAAGTTCTACAAGTTTATTCTAGATTTAAATCCAAGTGTGCATGGTTTCATTCAACAGAAATAGGCACAACAAAACAAACGAAATCAGTTAACCGAGGTGTAAAGTCTGCAGCAATATGGATGTAACAAGATTAGAAATGGTAACAAAAAAGACTCCAGGAAAAGCATAAACTTTACAAAACAAGTTACCAAAAATGAGACAAATTGCAGAAGTGCATGTATAAGACACCGATTTGAGAAGTTTCCATGGCAATTCTCAGTACACACATCACTGACTTGTTAATTGGCCCAATTTAGCCGGTAATTACAATAGCCTAGAATACACCCGGTACTATACATAACTATAACTATCTGCCTACGCGAGAAAGGCTAGACCTCCACATTCCCTCCTAAGGAAACACTTCATATCAAACACTACAACCTCATGTCAATTATGGTGTCAGAAGTCCTAAATGGTTTGAAGTACCATTGTAACTAAGTACAAGATATACCCTGGAGATGATTCAACATGTCACTCTGCTTTCAGAGAGTAGCCCAATAATAACGTTATGACACGTACAGCAAACATGAAGGTGAAAGTTGCACTTTGTTCTCAGGACTAAACCAGCCCATTATGTGTCAATCTGCTTTCATGCACGTGTAAGACTTATATAAGCCCTGACCTCTTGACCCCTAGTGAACCTTTCCGGGTTGAAACCCGTAACTAACTCAGAGGCTCAGTGACTGGCTCCACCACTGTGGTCTCGACCAATGGCAGCGCATTGCACAACTGTTCCTTGGCTCACCTCGCAAGATGGCCGCGTCATAACAAATAAACCAAATTACCGAAGACGACATTCGTGAAACCAGACATAATGGAAAAATAATGCTGTCACTTTTAACTATATGTATAAGACAATGAGCACACACATTTCTTAGATATTAGGCCAACCGGCATAATAACACAACCATAATTTCAATTCAAAATCAATAAAATCTATTACTTAATATGAGCATTGGGATCCTGGAAAAAGTCCCCATAAAAATGACCAGGTTTTCAAGAAGGTTGAACGTCTTCTGATTCGTGGACGATACTCGCCACATAAATATTGGCCAAATTTATGGAATAGAACCTAAGCATCGGACTTAAATATAGCACAATTGAGATTAGAAGTTAGATATTTCTCATCTAAATTATTGTCAAGAAATACAAAACAATTGATTTATTAGTTTATTTTCTTGCCAAAAAATCAATTTATCAAAACCTGCGTTAATCAATTTTATTCGTATTGTTAAGTCTTAACTACTTCATAAGAAATAAAACTATAAATACGGCTTCGGGACGAACAAAAGTTATTTTTTATACAGATACGATAGTAATCTAATCAGTAACAATAACAATCGATTATATAATATTGATATCATCAGTTTATTCATAATAGCAAACGGAAATCACAAGATAATGGAGATGGAATAAAAAGCACCTTTTTGTTGGCATCATTTCAGGTGTTTTTGCAGTTAAGAAACACTGTTACTTTTGACATTGTCTACATAACGTGATTGTTTTTCAGTGTAACAATATCACATAGTGTTAAAAATGACCCATATCTAGTAACACATATTTGACTCTGCAGAAATTAATTTAAAGACCTTATGTATTGACAGTGAAATGCAAATATGGCATTGTTTTTATATTCCCGCTTCGCAGAAGTCGGAGGTTTATAGTATTCGCACCGTCCGTACAGGCGTAAAGACTGAAGGACGGACGTGCGTGCGTGCCTTCGTGTTGACTTAAGTATCGATCTTCCAGGGAAGGTGGGATCTCGCATCCTTAAGTAGTCATCGTCACTTAAATTTCACCTTACGCCTTGACCACAGGTCTTAAAATATAGTGTAATAAGGTTTTCCCCATCATATCTTAGTCACTGTCTCATGAAAGGACTTCATACATGTAGATATACGGGAAGTGGGGTTGCCGTGAAGCTCAGGCATCGAGTCAAATACACTTTTTTCTTAATTTTGTGACGACGTCTGCTATTTCACATCAATAAATGATAGAAAAACTGAAAGTTGTATACATACCACCGCAAATGACGAAATATTTATATAAAACTTTTTAAAGTGCAGGCTACCAAGGAATTATATAGTGATTTAAATGGTTTCCCATATATATTTCACGAGTATGACAGAATATCGATATTCTGCCGTACGAATGAAATATTTACGGTATTCAGCGGGAAAATAATTAAATCTTCTATTTATTACGTTACTGAAGGGGCTATTTAGTCAAATAACACCTTTACAATCGATTAGATACGGAACAAATACCTCCTAACGATACTTTACGTAGATGATAATGACATAACTTGAAACCAACGTCCAGTGTGGTAAGTTTTTCTTTTCATAAAGCCGTTGATAAATATCCCCTTCCAGTGAGAAGTAAACATGCACAGTATCACGCTGTCGACCGACAACACATTGTAAGTGTGTCTGATTTTTCTACATAACACATGTTGATCGCTTCGAATTTACATCCCAAACAAGAGTTATCAATATCATAATATATACATGTAATGAGATATTTGTTTTTATGGTTGGGTTCGAATAGAAATAAATAGGATTACTTAGAGTATACACGCAAGAGAGTACCGTAGGGAGAATGTCAAACTGCACACAGTACGATATCAGTAGGTAAATGTTTCTGAGAACCAACATCTTTCCTAGATGATATTTCCCCTTTAACAGTTATTCTGACATCCGGTAGAATTGTTACCGTCGTATCCCCATACCGTGATACACTTTGCCGATCGATCCTATATTTCTTTCTTTGTATGGATGAAGTACGGAGGCGACATTTCCCGTTCAATGAGTAGGCTTTGCCGATCAGTTAAATCTTCTATACCCAACGGTTGATAACATTATATTTGTAGAGCACGCGAAAACGTGTCATTATACTTTACTGCAACATAAGAACGTTTAATGACGTAAAAACGGGTACGACATAGAACCTATAGATGAACTAACGTTAGACATCTACTTTTCTCCGTCGAATACATGTCTGGCATTAAAATCATACGGACATCGGTAAGGAAGTCCAACGATATCGGCTTCGTTATCTTTTCCGCAAGGTGGTGACATTTTCCGTTCAATGATTTCCATAAGTAGACCTTGTCGCTCGGTAAAATTTTCTATTTCACCAACACGACAACATGCTTTTACCCAACGATTGCTAATATCTCTGGCTGACAAATTATCGAAGTTAATAATGATCAGATTTCGTCGCATGTCATTTCTGTACAGTCTCCATATAGTGTTGAATTCAAATTGAGTGAATGCTTGTTGTGTTATTTCCACTTCATCTCTATCTTCTCTGAAATATTTTTCCGATAGAATGACGATAAAACTTCTGCACGTCTGTATTCTACTCCTGAGGTATTCGTCTCTAGCGAAGGCGAGGTCAGCATCCCGTACAGGAATGAATAAGTTATATCCGAGCGTTTCCAAGTATTTGGCCAGGTTCCTCAAAACCCACTTCCGCTGTTGGTCATCCTCGTCGTAAAATGATATATATGCATCATAGTCGAATTCCCGCGACCTCACTGAACGACGAAGTCTACGGCGATATATAATGTATATTTCTGGAAACAAAAACAAACGCCCTAAAATAAACACTATGATAATAACTACAAAACATGTAAGGCTTCCTAGAATGATGTTCAGTTCTGAAGAGTCCGGGGAACAATCTAACAACGTGAAATCAGCCAACGTGATGTCTTTACCTCCCAAGTTCTGACATATGTATGAGGTGTGACTTTCTTCTTCATGATAAAACGAAAGCCAAGTTTTCATCCACAGATCATCACAGGAACACGTAATAAGAATATATCCTAACAAAAGATAAGTAGGATTTCTGTTCTGAAAATGACGTGGTATTGATGACAATTTATTTCCTGTTGCATTCAGCTTAGCATCGTCGGGAAAAACTGATGCTGCAATTTCAGAGATGTGTGAGAGCGGATTTCCAGAAAGGTCTAATTCTGCTACACGACTAAGGTAGGGTCTGAATTCCATCTGTTGAATATTATTTCCCGCCAGGAGTAGTTCCAATCTGTCCCCGTTCCCCCACGGCAGATTTTCCGGCATTGTTTTAAGATTCTGTCCCTGACAGTCGACAACAACCCGGTCTTGACTAGGTTGGTTAAAACAATGACACTTTCTTGGACAGGAGTCTGTAATGTTGCATATCAGGAGATCCAGTTTTTCTGGATTTGTCTTGTAGATGTCAATCAATTTAGTACCGTTTAATTCGTCTGGTCTTTCACAAACATACTCTGCCAATTGCTGCCAGAATTTCCCAATTACGGCAATTGATGTGCCGTCAGAAAACAGCTCAGCCATATTGCAATCGCACGTCAGTTGATCACTTATCAATGACATGGACAAATCCAAATTCTTGTATATCTGATTCCATGCATCTAAACCGAAATCAGAATAGTTGAAGAAAGTATGGAAGGATACATTTTCAAATTCAATAACACCACCACATCCATTTTTTTCGTTCGGCACTGTCTTGTAATTGAGCTTATTTTCAATTTGCAGCGATTTTTTGTTATTGGAATATGATATTTTACAAAATGCTTTTAAAACGAAATTTGTAACGTCTATAGATTCAAGTTGATTGCTGGATATGTCGATATTTAAAATATACTGACCGCCACCAAGATTAAACGAATTTGGTTCAATTCTTGCGATTTTGTTGTTACCGAGGTACAGGTTACGTAAACCTTTTAGGTTTTGGAATGTTGAGTTACGTATTATTTCCAGATTATTGTGGGTTAAGTAGAGGGAGTCCAGATTGGAGAGGCAGTTAATTCCGTTAAGGGTTTCTATCTCATTGTTGTCCAGTACTAGTTCCACAGTTAATGGAAAACTGCATATATTCGTTGGAAGTTTCCGTAAGCGTCCGTTAACGTGAGATAACCTGGTATAATTGTTATTAAAATCATCCCAATGAATGTAAGCGATAGATGATCCTCGGATATCTGTATATTTAACATGGAGGTTTACTACTTGGCCTTCAAGTTCCCATGATCGTTTGTTTTCACATGCGCAACACTCGGTATCCTGACCACAACTGTCCGGACAGATGAGATCTGTCATGTTCTCAAGTCGCCATGATGTATAGGTCACCACATTCTCTACAGCTATGGAGTATGATGCAAGGAATAGTAAAATAACGCTTACAGAATACATAATGCTTTCCTTGGTCATAGCATATTTATATTACACCCTCCGATAGCAGGGATACAAAGTACATATGATGTATGGCTGGTCGTTCATTACCCTTTTACACTTGAATGTTTTTCGTCTGGTATTTCCGATCAACCCATTGATTGGCTATCAATTTACTTCTTTTTACATACACATATTTAATTGTCTCTATAACGCTTCATAGATTGAATTTAAATACCTAACCACAATGAAAATAGTATTGCGAAATTTTAGAAAAAAAAAGCCGCACATTAGATTACTGATTTTTTTTTAAATTACAAGTGATCCCTAAGGTACGAACTCGTCATCGTGTGTTTTTCCACAGGCTTGGTACGTCATAATGTGTGCTCCATTTCTAAATATATACTATTGTATTCAACTCTGTGTAAATATTCTTTTTTTACAAGCTGATGTTTTAACTCTCGTCATTTGAAAAATGATATGAGAGGTTATTCTGGATGAAAATATAGAATTCGTTTTTTGTTCGAGATTCGTTACAAATATATAACCAATATCATTCCATCTAAAGTATAATAATATTCAAAAATTTCCCTCAGATAAACGTCTGACAGCTGTACCGTACAAAACTAAAAACTGTGGTTGATTTAAATATGATAAGCAGTACGTGGTTAAATAACTTCAATTGAGCGGTGAGGACGATTGGACTCCCGATCAATCAGATCTTCGGTTTATCAAATGTTATTAACGATCACCATTTGAATCTGTTTAACAAGAACATGGAGTTATAATGATCGTTACGTAAGGTGCACAGTACAGAACATTAGGGATACATAGGGTGCTTTACAGTACGTATTTTAAATATAACCAGAAGAATACTCCACAGAATGAAAAGATTTCTTACATCAACCCACACATTAGAAATTTTAATTAAGTTAATGGCCCGTTGAAACGCAGTAAATAAAGTCTAAAAAATACTTACTGAAATAAAGCTCAGTCTGTTTAATTCATTATGGTGATATATGTATTCTATAAATTTATATACATTATAGTTAAATCATTTTCAATTCAAAACGTTTTTGGCTGATATTTTAATCCGCTTTGCACATGCTGAATAGAACATTTATTATAATAAATTCCCAATTATTTGCTTAATATTTCACTGAATTAACACAGATATATAATGTATTTTTATATAGGAATTCAATAACATCAATAATGACACCCACACAGGAAAACCCAGTAAATACATGGTTGTCGAAAAACAATACAGGAATTACAATTATCTCCTTTGTTCTCTTTCATTCATCCAATAGGTCTTGAACACACAATACTATGTTCTGTCAGCGCTACCTGGTATTGTTCATTTTTAACTGACGTTTTCCTTCCTGGTATAAGTGGGGATATTTTGAGCTACCTAACTGTATAATAAGGTCCTTTGTGTTGAGAAAATCAGGAAGTACGAAAGGAGGATTTCCTTCATGCTTCAGTTTTAATGTCTTCCTTTATATTTATAGAATTCCATTATTACACACGGCGGACGCTTCAGGTGGAAAGCGTCATCGCGCGTAGTCTCTTAAAATGTAATTAATGGAAACTTTATATTATCTTTATTTGTCGAATAAAATAGAACCTGTAATATAAGTAGTCGTGTATAACTTTTTTTATCCACACATTTCCTTATTTGCTAAAGAAGTGATACCCCGGTTCCCTTAAGGGTGTCCTCTATCTTTACAACATAATGTTAACGTCGGATCGGCACAATTTGAATATCAAACAGGAATAAGAAGCCTGTTTGTCTAGGTCTTAGGTAATGTTTGTTCAGTGTTGTGTGTTAATTATAGTAACGCTAGTCCATCGTTAAGATAATTCTACTTGCCAAGCAGTGGTCGCATTTATCCTCAGCCTTATTAGCTTAACAAAAACATTTCATCTAGTATGTGTCCAAAATATTGAAGGTAGATAAATTTAAGGATTGTAAATAAGAAAATCATTGGAATTCGTTATGATGGTCTGAACAAATATTTGGAAAGCTTTTCGATCAATTTCTAAAATCGATTTTTCAACATTTGTGTTTACGACCGCTAAGGTTATAGGGTTCCAATAAACTTACCTAAATACTGAGCTCAGCGCAATACAATACAAGTACGTAGATTACAACATACACACGAAGGATTAAAGTTCATGTAATTGTTCTGGTAGGTTTTTCCCATATTTTTAAAAAATGTTTAAAGTACAAATTAGTATTCCAAGTACCTTTTAAACTTCCTGGTACAGGTTCAGAAAGGTGTTATGGCTTGTCTTTAAGTCGTGATTCGTACAGCGTATCCTTGGTAGGTTGTTTGGTCATCCCTTTGTCCGGTTTATCAATTTATCAATTTAAAAATGTATTTCGTTTTAACGAATAAACAAGCAGTAATACAGGTAGTTACAGAACTAGGTACATGTGTAAGGATGACTATAGCACGTCTGACCCGACATCGCGTGGTTTACTCTGTAATTACAGAACTAGGTACGTGTGTTATTATGACTACAGCACGTCTGACCCTACATCGCGTGGTTTACTCTGTAATTACAGAACTAGGTACGTGTGTTATTATGACTACAGCACGTCTGACCCTA